ACCTAATTATTTAAATCGCATCAAAATGTGTACTCGGACCTAAATCACTTTTCAAATTAGTATCCTAGAAATAAAAGTTATTCTACTGATTTATAATCACGAGGCTATGCAGGTTGATAGGGTTTTTAGTTTCAACTAAGTTCAACAGCTGAAGAAAAATTTGGAAGTCATTATGTATACAGAATAACTAGTTAGCAACATAAAAATATATGAAATAGTAATATAAGTCATTTAGCATGCCCAGTATAATATATTTGCTCATACTAGTAAGCTAATCAAACTTGACGTTTTACAACTTGACACGATTTAGAAAGAACTATGAATAAAAATAAAACCACCTAAGAGACTGAAAAATTTATGAATCTAATATCATTTGGTTTCATAAGCAATAGGTATAGCTGTACTTCCACGAAATGTTATCTTCATAGCAGAAAGTTAGTTAATACTGCTAAACTCCATAATACATTGCTCAGCTTATGCAATTAATCTTGAATCGTGATAAGTCGTTGTTTCCTCTTATCGTAAAATATGACTCCCAACATACGATGTTAAGGTTTCAATCTATATGATCGAAGAAAAGAATCATTTAAAGCTATTAGTGTTTGTCATATGGTCAGTTAGCGAGTTACTAGAAGTCAAACGTCACGAACCCATTATAAACGATCATCACAAAACTCAGTCAGTCAGTCACCTACAACGTAGGACCAGGCACATATATGCATCGGTCCAAGTTGCCATACCTCGTTAGCACAACAAGAGGAACACCGGATTCATAGTAGTTAATCTAGTGTTGGTAGTAGTATATAAATTATAAGTTGTATATAAGGATATAGTACAGGAAGGAAGAGAGATATGAAGCAATTTTAGTCTCAAGGTTTAAGGGAAGATAAAAAGTGTATACACCTACGCCATTGTGACCGATTCTGAGCCATGTCACCTAGAGTCTCCAACCATTGGTTACGATAGTCACGCGGACCCCAACCAGGTAGTCTGCATCTGCCAACATGGCTCAGGCTAGAAGTTAGTGACTTCAAACACTGATGCCATGTTTTGGTTTGGCCGCCCCTAACTCTCTTCCAACAATCCCCTACACTAGTCATCATAGCGCGTCGTGGTAATCGGTGTTCAGGCATACGTAACACATGGCCCAACCATCTCAGTCGATGAAGATTCATCACCTCATCAACTGATTTACCATCGTTCCCTAATACCCTGCGTCTAACCTCACTATTACTTACCCGGTGATCCCAGCAGATGCGAGCAATATTTCTAAGGCATCTGTGGTCAAATACTAGTAACCTACGAGTATCTTCTACTCTTAATGGCCATGTTTCACAGCCGTAAAGTAGAACAGAGCGAACTGCTGCGCAGTATACTCGTCCCTTAATTGATAGACGGATATCTCGTCTACGCCATAGGAGACGTAAGTTGGCAAAAGCCAAACGAGCTTTCCGAATCCGTGCTGAGATTTCGTCAGACACCAACCCATTAGGGCTGATCAGACTTCCAAGATAAGTGAAGTTGTCGACGCGTTCGACTACTTCACTCCCTATCCTTAGTTCGGGTGTTGACGCAGGCCAGTCCTGGAGTAACAATTTACATTTGGATGGGGAGAAACGCATCCCAAACATCCTGGCATTATTACTGAGTTCCAACAGAAGACTCTGCATTTTGCCAGCGTCTTCACCAAACAGGACTATGTCATCTGCGTATTCTAAGTCGATAAGTGAACCTCCTGGTAGAAGATCAATTCCTGAAAATTCAGTCGACGAGAGTGTTATTTCCAGCAACAGGTCTATAATGAAGTTAAACAAAAATGGGGATAGTGGACAGCCTTGACGGACACCACTTGAGGTTGTAAAATCAAATGACAGTTCGCCATAAGCTCTCACTCGACTGGTAGTGTTCGAGTAAAGAGCCTTTACAAGGTTTATGTACTCCTGAGGTACGCTTTTCAATGACAGACACTGCCACAGAACCTCTCGGTCTACAGAGTCAAATGCTGCTTTCAAGTCAAGAAAAATTATCATTGTTGGACGCCGATAAACATGTCTGTGCTCTAAAACCTGACGAATACTGAATATGTGGTAGATACAGCCACGACCAGGTCTGAAGCCAGCCTGATTTTCTCGTGTTTGCAGTTCACGAGTCTTAGTTAGGCGCCCGATAATTATTGAGGCTAGTATTTTAGATGCTATGTTAGTCAGACTAATCCCTCTATGGTTATCGCAGGATAATTTTGACCACTTTTTATATATTGGGACAATCAGTGATTATGACCAGTCGGATGGGATTACATCCGTCTCCCAGATTTTAGCCAGAATATTAGTCAACCTAATCGCTAAAATCGGACCACCATATTTAAAGACCTCTGGAGCCAATCCATCTGAACCAGCTGCTCTTCCTCGTTTCAGATTACCTATAGCCTTTTGAACTTCAAGTAGGGTCGGGGGGCCTACTTCAATGTCCCATTCAGGTTTTCTGGGAATAGTGGGTAGTTGTGCAGTAGCTGAAGGCCAGCTAAACTGCTCCTTAAAGTGTTCCGCCCATCGTTCTAAACGTTTAGGTTGAGAGTAGATAAGGGTTCCGTCTTTTTCCGAGATCGTCTCACTTACACTTGACTTCTTAATTCCGGTTTCTTTTATTAGTCTGAATAGTTGCCTGGTGTTGCCTACAGCCGCTGCCTTTTCCATCTCTTTTGCTTTCGTTGCCCACCACTGCTCACGATCGTTCCTTAGACTTTTAGTTAACCTAGATCTAATTTGTTTACGCTCTTCGTCATGTTCAGAGCCTGATGGTATGAGTTTACGCGAATCCATCAGTGAAATAGACTTAGAAGAAATCCACTGGTTTTTTGGAACCCTATGGTTTAAATGACTAATAGATGTTACTGCTGTTTCCACAGCTGTTCGTATGCCTTTCCAAGCAGCATCTGGGTCAGTCTCGTTTACAGAACTGCCTAGATGTGAACTCAGTTGTCTCTGGAATTCGCATTTGGCTTTCTCGTCCTCCAGTTCAATCCTAATGGGTCTTCTTAGTGCACTTTTCCTGCGTCCATTGAGGCGCAGACAAATGCGTGCTCGTATTAAAGCGTGATCAGAGTCTAAACAAGTATTCCAATACGAGCGACAATCTTCTATTGAGCCTCTCCAACGATGACTGATGACAATATGGTCTATTTGAGTCCATCGTTGGTTTGGTGCAGGTGGTCGCCATGTTAGACGATGTCTCTCCTTATGTTTAAAGTTAGTGCTTGCTAAAAATAAACGATTGTCTGAGCATAGTTGCAACAGACGATCTCCATTATCCGTTCGTTGAGCCGGAATACTAAAACACCCACCTAAATGTCTTTCTGTTTGATTTAAGCTGCCTACCTGGGCATTAAAGTCACCTGCTACGACTACTATGTCTGAGCGCTTAGCTTTCTGAAGAAGCTCAGAGAGTTTTCTGTAAAAGTCATCTTTTACTTCATCATGGCTGCAGTCAGTGGGAGCGTAGGCAGAAACGACGAAAAGGCAACGACGTGTGTCCCTATCCTTCCGAGTTCTTATGGAGCCATTTAGCCGGACAGCACACAGGCGACTGTTAACGGGGATCCATTCTAGTAGTGCCTGTTCTGCCCTTGTACTTAGTGCTATGCCTACACCTGCAAGTCCGCGAGAACTAGCCAACGGGTCGCCAGATACACGGAGGGTGAGGTCAAGTGAATGACCACACTATGATCCTGTATGCGTGTTTCGGAGACACAGCATACATCAATGGTACGAGATTCTAGAGTTTTAGCTAAGGAGGCCTGTTGACCGATTTGGCATAGGGTACGTAAGTTGAAGGCTCCAATGTGTAGTTTGGAGCGAGGTTTAAGTAGACCTGGGACAGCGTTTCGCGCACTAGAATCGTTGGCCATGGTGACACTTGAGGAGGAAACCGGAACAGGAAGTTTAGTGTTGAAAGTCAAGGTAGAAGGAATAGTAGGAATTGAAGAAGGAGATTGATTATGAATACAGTGGTCTTGAGTGTTGTTAGAGGTATAAGGGCAGTTATCACTTCCCGGTTGCCCACACCGTGGAAGGATTCTTCTAGAGGTACCTGGAAAGGAAATTGGGTTAGAAGTGGTATTAATGACCTGAGAACGTGACCGCAGAACCCAAGGGACAACTGCTTGAGGTCGGTCACACACGACCTTTTGTGGGTAGTTTTTGTGTTAGCTCCGTTCTTCAAAAAAACCTTACCGCCGGAGACGGAAATCCGTGGGATAAGGCGAGGTGTGCATTTTTAGGGTCGACCTTTTCTAACCCCACCCCTCCTTGTGGGAAGGCAGCATCGCTGTCATGCTGGTTGTCTGAAGGAAACACCTTACTGCCGTTACACCTCTGTACAGTCAGCAGTACGACTTCGCCTTCGGACCTTGGGTTTGCTGCTTTTAGTCTCACCGCTCTTCAACCGACCTGTCTGGCATGGTAGGACCTCGAGGAACGACTGTTCCAGCCAGCATAGCTCGATTGCTTCATCACGATAGGCAAGCCCGACCACCACGTCAAGGTAGCAGCAACGATCGGGAAAAAACAAAACTATGAAATATTGGAGAGAAACTGACAACAATCTTCACAAGCCTACTATGCTAGTGATAGATATGTCCTTATTAGTGATTAATTTCAAGTGATAATCTAATTTTTTATGGAAAATCCAAGACAGGTGAAGTCCAGCCATGTGGAGAGTAAAAACAATACAGTTAGCTACCGATGATGATCGAATGTTAGTGAAAATTAGACGAAGTTAGACATGTAGACCAGTGGTTGTCTAATCAATAGTCAAATAGTCAAGCACTAGCTACTAAGCCTGAAAACTCTTGCTTCGATTTCTGGTGAGGTTGTGCCTGTGCTTTACTGAGGAATCCTATACTTAATTAAAATATCTTTTCATTGTCTTCTAATTTTCTTTAATTTTTTCTAAAGAAACTCAATCCATGATGGATACATTTTATCAACCAGATAGAATATATAGTTTGAAATAACGTATATTTGTATCATTAAGGGAATATACATAAATCATTTGCATATAAATTATATATAGAAGAAATCCGGATAAAAGTAATGAAAATCCCTGATACAATAGGATATGGATTGTATACAAAAACTTCTACTGTATTAAGTTTGATTAACTGATGGTGTAATAAAACAATGATTACTACTATATGTACTATTATTATTAATTATTGTAGGTACTTGTGTATTACTATTATTATGATTTAATCTGGGACAACCTTGTTTATTAATTGAAGAACGATTAATTATTGAATTGTAAAAATAACATAATGCAAAACTAATAAATAATAATGATAATCCAAGAATGAATATGCTCAATGATATCCATTGGGAATAATGAAAAAATCCATTCATACTCTTTGTTATATATGTATTGTTCATCTGATATTTTGATTGATTTAAATAATAACCTGTATGTATACAAAATATGACTGAAGCTATTGATATACTAATTAATCCAATAACTGAAGTAAACAAAACACAATAATGATAAATCCTTACACGTGTTGTTACATGTCGTTTTAATGGTTGCATATCATTTATGGATATATTACGATTAATGGAACTTAATTCAAGCATCATACATGGATTTGGTGTTAAACGATTATTAGATGTTATCAAATTATCTTTTGTTACATTTAATAGATATTTTGTATTATCTGTCATTATGTAGGGATTCTTTCTCCTTCGATTGTTTCTTCTCAATGATTAATCTGATTTATCATATAACATTTAAAAAAAATGTCAGTTATTGTTATTGTTTAAATCATTTGTAAGATAAGTACATAAATAAGTAAATGAATTTCAACATGTAACTAACTATACAACTACGTGTAATCATTATTCTGTTTACTGATAAAAGTTAAGTCTAAATAAAACATTATGATTGGTATAAATGACTGCTATAATGTTTATAATTTATTATCTGATTGGTTAATAAAAATGTATTTATTCAATTGAAAATAATTTATCTAACAAATTAATAAATATATAGTTGAAATCATGAGTCAATTGAGGCTAGACTACCATCGAAAACCTGGAAACACTGGATGCGCACTGCTGAGGAGTCCCATAATAGGACGAAACGGCCGTCCAGTGCTTCCAGGTTTTCGATGGTGGTCTAGCTTCAATTGACTCATGATTTCAACTTTGAAAAATACTGAAATCTCCACAAACCGCCTTCTAAATATAGTTGAAATCATGAGTCAATTGAGGCTAGACTACGATGGAAAACCTGGAAGCACTGGACGGCTGCTTCGTCCTATTGTGATAATTGTAATAATGGGATGATTACTTCACCAGCTTGATAAATGGGCTATATTTTTTTTAATTTAGAAGTAGAAGACGTAGGATTAAATAAAATCTAATCATCTAACTTACTCGCTTAACAATATACTAAAGAGAGAAAATCAGTATTACTGATAGTTTTATAATTAAAAATATATATCATAGAATTATTTGATATTTTTACAGTACTCCCTTTGTTACATATGAACAAAGTTTTGTGACTAGATCTTATTGATCTACAAAATGAATAATTATAATTCTTTAACCCTAAAGGTTAGGAAAATTGAGTATTAAAGGAATTTTCGTTCCTTATTTTGTTGAATAGTTTTTAAATGTTGCAACAATAATAATATTTATTTGAGTATAGTTAAAAATGAGGTTTAATTGTGGTGGAGAAAGAAGTCCTTCATTTGAATTCTTCGTTAGACGCTCATAATTATGTAATCTGAATGTGAACAGTAGTATGCTACCATACGTTGAAAACTACCACCTGATAAAAACTAAAAAAATTAAAGTTCATGAAATATTATCATTAGTTAGTAACAGACATTCAGATGATTTCCATAATTATTCTTTAATGAAACATTTTCCTTTAAATGAAGCGTTTGGATCACATGGCTTTCGCTGTAGTAGCACCATATGATAATTTTTAAAATAGTCATAAATATTAACTCAGATTTATAAGACAAACGAATCCAAGTTAGAATTTCTGAAGAATATGAAACAAATTAACCACATTTTGTTATTATACATTATACAAATCGGATGACTTGAAATATCATAAAACTTCGTATGCCTCATCCTAAATCCATGTTCAAAATTATCTGATTAATATGGTCTGCCAACCTTTGATTAGCAAGTGATATGGTGGTTTACCCCAGTTATTCCAATAACATGAGGTGAATAAAAAAGTTTAGTAAGCATTTTTCACTGCTTGATAATTTCAATAATTAAAACCTGATAAAATAAATAATGAAGGTTTTATCAAACATGTATCGCAGTCAGTATAGAAATAACACTGACAGTTGAAGAGTAAAACTTACAATGGTGTTCAGTGGCACACACGTGGCTAATAATACACTTAAACTTTAGTGTTGTTCACATCAGCATACATATCCGTTCTAAGTAACCTTAGAAGTTGAAATCTATTCTGAAAATAATAATAATTTATGTATTCTATTCATCAGAATAATGAACATATATGTACTGTAAAACAGGATGATTAGTCTGTACGATTCCTAATAGATCTAGGTTATTTTCTTTTAATAAAACAGACGGTCTGTGTGAAATGGAAAATGTCTATAAAACTTCATAATAACTATCCTTAAATACATTAATCAAGTCGATGATACACTGAATTAAAAGTAGTCACTAATATGTCTTTCCACAGATTTCTTTATTAAAGTTCTTAAGATGGTTTATAAAAATACAAATGTTAATATTTTTTTTATTTACCTTTAAAGACTGAATTACAGTCATATTTGAAGATTGATTCAAGACAATAACTAAAACAAATTGACCACGTTTAATATCTGATGAGTCAGTTTTAATCAAAATAAAATAATAAATGAAAATGCCCCTCTATTAAAAGAATAGAATAAAGCAATTGTAAATATGATAAGAGGATAATACTGGTAATGCAATTTAGTTGAAAGGACCATATAACTGTTTCTGAAAAATTATTCTATTCTGATCCTATTTTAAATGTCGTTTGTAAATAATGAATATTTATTTGTCTTCTAAATATTATGTTAAGAGTTAGATGATTGTAATAAATAATCAAAATAAACTATCTTATAGTTGAAATCATAAGTCAACTGTAGCTAGACCACCATGGAAAACCTGAAAGCATTGGACGGACGTTTCGTCCTATTGTGGAACTCCTCAGCAGTGAGCATCCACGATCCCGCATGCTGGCAAGATTCGAACCCAGAACCTACCAGTTTACTATGAAAATACTGAAATCTCCACAAAACCCCTTCTGATTAAAAAATCTTATGCAAATTTGATTATGGTTAGGTAAATGATAGTTATTGAGCTACTATAATAACGTTAATATAAGTTCATGGTCACTTATTATACTACTTTTATGCTAAAATATCAGTTATTCACAGCTTGTGATATTAGTTTATTGATTATTTTTTTGTAAAACTATTGTATTCACAGAAGGATGGCATTTTTTGAAAGATGATAAACTTTCTTCAAAATATAAAAGTGTCATATTGTCAAATAAATGTTTAGTGATTGTCAGGTTATAACACTTAGATCCCTTAAAAAATAACCTAATTTGGTGTTTTAGAAAGAGTATTTGTTAAACAGTAGTTTTTTTTTGTTCTACAGAAAGCTTATAACATAATATTCATGTCAAGGCAATACTCACAAAATACGCATAAACCAATTAAGGCTGACCGAATTCAGTTAAAAAATTGACAACAGGATAAGTCAAACCACAACAAACTAGATCGTAACTCATAATGGCTAGGCTAGTGAGGTTAAGTAGATAAACTTTTAAAGTACTGAAACGAAAGGTAGTGAGTTTAAATCACGAAATGAACATCAACTTTGGGATTCAGGTAAACCCATCTGACTAATCTAAAACAGGCTGAAATGCGCGTCCTTGATTTCCCTGCTGGACATGCATTTTTTATTTGATATAAAATATTATAATCAGGGTAGTGAAATATGGGATATAGATAGGAATACTTCGTAACTGATTGGAGTCTAATGGTATTTCTTATTGCAATTAAACATTCAATTTTAATTAAATCTACAGAATTTATATATGAAATCTTATTTGCTAAACGTAATGACAAAATGAATCCGCATCTAAAACTCTTCTCGAAATCCTAAAATAATGAGCTTCAACCCTTAATAACCGATAATATCTAACGAAAAATGTATTAAGACCGTCTTTTGCTATCACAACAATTTTGCTGGGTAATATTTTTTCAGATTTCATATGTGTGTTTATATTGAAATTTTCAGAAAAATTACCAAATTATAATCTCTCCTTACTAGTAGCGCTGAATTGTTGAGAACAAAAATATGTGAAAAGATAACTAGCACAAATGAGAAAATACCAATAATTACTTGCACTCAAGATTGAAACTTTTGTTTAACATATTACCTAGCCACACTATCTGATTCTTCTTGAATTCTGTCCACGGTTTCTATTGAGATTTATTTCTTATGATGATGTGTCTTGCGGCCCAGGACCTCCTTGCACATTGAAGTAGGTGTTTTTTAATCCCTTTCCAGTCATTTTCCATAGTGGTCCCCTTATCTTTTAGTGAGTCTTCTGAGGCTAGGAACCTGTTTCTAGGAGCTATCTTGAGTTCATTGAGTTTGTCAGTATCTAGAATGAAGGCTATCCTTAACCTGTTATGTTGTTTGTCAGTTGTCTATTGCTTCCATAGCTTCAGTTTCATCTTGTTCAAACCACGTTATGATCTGAAGATATGCCATTTCTTCTCATTTTCACGTCTTAAATCGACCTTCTGAAACTTTAAGTGGTGCAAATATTATCTACCTGGTTCTCATAGTGTGATCCGGTGAGACCCAATTGACTTTGTGTAGGCGTTTGTGCTGAAATATTATACCGCCTATAATAAATTAGTTGTTAATCTCTCCCTATTCTTGTTTCTCTCTCGCAGTCCATGCCATTCCATGATATCTTCATACCCTTTGCTGTCCATTCCGAATTCGGCGTCCACATCTCCCACCAGGATGGTTGGGTGCTTTCCTGAGAACTTCACTATGATCTATTGCAACCTCTCGTAAAACTGATCTCTATCGTCGTCATCGCTGTCATTGGTGAGTGCATAACATTGGAGGACATTCATTGTTATTTTCTCGTTCTTTGTTGTGAAAGATACTTTGATGACCATGAGTCCATGAGATTCTCATCCTATAAGTGCTTCACGTGCTTCCTATATAGCATCAAAGCAACTCTCTGAGTGTGGTGAGCATTTTCTTCTTCGTGACCAGAGTATAGCAGAATCCCTCCCAAATCTAACCTTTTCTGGCAAGATTGGGTCCGATGAGTTTCGCTGACTCCAAGAACCACCAAGTTGTATCTCCTCATTTTCGCAGCTATTTGATTGACGTCTCCGGACTGAAATGAAGAATATCTAATCAAGATACCAAAAAAGATCTTAGGAAATGCGAAGACTACAGAGGTATCAGACTGATATAAATGCCAGAAAACCTTTTCAGCAGAGTGTTGCTGGACCGGATGAAAGATTCGGTCGAAATCAACAGACTGGATTCCGGAAGGGATCGATATTGTGTTGAAAATATTCTCAAAACCCTGATGTTTACCTTGCAATTCGGTATTGCAGTTGAGTAATAATAAAACCACTCATTAGTTTGAAACTAACTATGAGGGCTTTAATAATCTCTATGTTGTTAGATTGATGATCTTATACGGAATTGAAATTTAGTCTTGCACGGTCGGAGACGGTTTTGTTCATTTGTAAAGTACTTGAGGCACTAGATTACAATCGAGTAGTTATAGGTTAAGGCTCATTCAAAGAGACTGGTAGGCTATATATTCAATCAATCCCGGTGTCATGAATATGTGTTGCTAACGTGTTTAGACAGGAAAAGACGGTTGACAATTTAATGTATTATGAAGTGTATTTTAAATTGTTCAGTGAGCACACATTAAAAGTTTGCTTGTAAATGATTATTCGTGTATGAATCCTTATCTTACAAATGAGAGTAACTTTTTTTGTCGTAATACTATCATTGTCTCTTCTCGTGAACCTTTTACAAACAGGCATTATCCTTGTCATGCACGCACTATCGTCATGCACACCACTTATTATGTAGTTTCCACCCATTCTTTTGTTAACTGATTTAAATAACCAACTGTGAACTTTATCAATTTTCAGTCTGCAACTTTCAATCATAACTTACTTCCTGTGAACTTTATTGATAAATTAGCCATCAAATATGCATATAAAAAATCGTTCCATAAATTAACCAACCATTGGCGAAATAACTTCTAACTTACCAGTTGAATTGGATTGTAATTTACTGAGATGTAAGAGTACAATTGTTCTGTGTCAACGGAAACTTTATTTAATAGTTAATTGATGAATCAATTAAAGCTAGACCACTATGGTAAACCTGGAAACACTGAACGGCTGTTCCGTCCTAGTACAGGACTCCTCAGCAGTGTGCATCCACGGTCTCGCTTCCAGGATTTGAACTCAGGTCCTACTGGCTTCACGCTTTCTGAGGAGCCCAACACTAAAACAAAATGGCCGTCCAGTGCTTCAAAGTTTTCCTTGAAGGTCTGGCTCTGATTGAATCATGAATTCAACTATTAAATTACTATACTATCCACAAAACCTCCTTCTGAAATTTTATTTAACGGTTTTTTTAATGTATATAGCCTGAAGGTTTTAATAATATTTACAAGTAGAAAAAATCTTACCTATACAATTGATCTTTTTGAAAATCAAATATTTTACGTAATTGAAGTATGAAAGATGCTTCTGAATGTAATAAAATTTATTTACGATTGTAAAGTGTTTTTTTCTCTATGTAATACGTAACTTGAAGTGTTATTCTAACTTAAAAGGCCATTCACTTAAATATGTAATGAATTAGTTGTCCATATGTTCAACAAAGAGCTTAGCTTTTTCTAAAGGTTGATGGTGGTGTCAATTTTTAAAACGAAAGGTGAATTTGTTTTCCAATTAATTTGGTTTTTGTAGTTATGTTTATTGAAAACACAATTTATATCCCACTAGAAATAATTCAGATTGGTTCTTTTATTCACTTTGTAATAAATGTAAACAATTATTCATTTACTATTGGACCAGAAATAATAATATTTATATTATAAAAGTTTGAGTTATTCCATTTTTGATATTTTGATTAAATTAAGATCAGTCAAATTAGACTGATCAATATTAATAACAGGATTACTTAAACATTTAAATAATGATATAAATATCATATATGTTACACAAATGACTGATTCTCCAGACTAATTAGATAAGTAAATAACTAATTGAGAGCTTAAAGTAAATGGAACTGGGCTTAATTCTCGGAGTAAATATCAACTCCAGGATAGAAGTTCATCTAGCGAACTAGCTGAAAACAGAATTAAATGACTATCCTGATTCCTACTACAAGTCACATTTTCTTTATTCATTTATACACATTAGCACTATCAGCAACAAACTAATGTGGGAGACAGCAAACCAGATTCCATCTAGTGGATGAAGAAATCAGGAAGAAGCTATGGAAGTGGATAGGACATACAAATCACCCGATTGCGTCACAAGACGAGCCCTCACATGGAATCCTGAAGGTCAAAGGAGAAGAGGATGACCAAAGAACAAAATACGCCGAGAAATAGAGGCAGACATGAGAAGAATGAACAAAAATTGGATAGAACTAGAAATGAAGGTCTAGGACAAAGTGGGTTGGATAATGCTGGTCGGCGGCCTATGTTCCATTGGGAGTAACAGGCATAAGTAAGTAAGTAACACATTATTATTTTATTGTACCTATTGTCTAATTTATCATAATTCCACAAAGATATACTATACCAAAATAACTATTTGGTCTTAAGCAATAAAATACAACACAAGTAGTTTTCTTTTATATTTTCTGTATGAAATTATATAAATTATCACTAATGTCTAAAAGACGTCATACCATTTACAAAACTTTATGAAACATTCTATAGTTTATAATTTTTTTGAAATATATTAAACCAATTTTTGTACAAATGATCATCCATGTGTTGTCCAGTTTGACAACTGAATATCAAAAAAAATTGAGCCGATATGTCTACCAAAGTTTGCCGATTGAGACCTGTTTTTCTTTACTTATATCTTAACTAAACAACGTTTTATTGACGTCATTAATGATTTTAAATAGAAATTATAACTTGGAAGTGATTTATTCATAAATATTAATTTATTAATATAGATTTATGGTTAGCAAAGTTTAACGCTAGGGTTACTAAATAACCGATAGAATAACTACTACAGTGAAATATATGGGAGATGTAATAGTTATATGCATGTTATTACAGTGTATGTGATATAAACTCTTTGAAAGTATCTGAAATCAATTTTGAAGTGATTAATTCATTTGTATGCTTTTTTTTGATTTTATCACATTTTGGATGTATAAAAGATTAAATGTTATATTACTCGTAAAGATAGTCTTTGGCAAAACATTTTAGTACATAATTTATCAAGTAACCAATCAAGAAAAGTAGTAAGTATATATATATATATATATATATATATATATATATATATTTAACCGGAAAAATTCTCTGATTAATCTATTCCCAAAATACTTGCTTACTTACTTATGCCTGTTACTCCCAATGTAGCATAGGTCGCCGACCAGCATTCTTCAACCTACATCGTCCTGGACCTTCCTTTCTAGTTCTATCCAATTTTTGTTCATTCTTCTCATGTCTGCCTCCATTTCTTGGAGTAATGTGTTCTTTTGTCTTATATATATATGGTTATATACATATAGATGCATGCATCTTAACAACCGCTTTGTTCTATTTTATTAAAATAAAGAGCGTCACGCGTCATACGCGTTAACACTCAAAGCCAAATCCATGATTAATGGATGCTAACTTCGTAGTATGAACTTATTATACTCACTTAAAGGTCTACTGCAATTTCTTAAACATTTTATTATTTTGATTGAGATCATTAACTGATCAATGTCAGACCACTATTGAAAATCTGGAAGCACCGGGCGTACGTTTCGTTCCCTCAAAACAATCTGTTAGTAAGTAAAATTCTTAAATTGGTTCACTTTGTTTGTTTTTGAGTTAAGGTATTAACAGAAATTATCCGTAACCTTTCTCTTCTCACCAAGTTAGGTATTAAGAATGATTATTTCTTTGATTAAATTGTACTTTTAAACATAGTATTCAGATAGATCTAGCAATAATGTATGCGTGACATTTAAAAAAAAAGCTGTTTATTGTTCAACAAAATCTTATAAAGAGCATTTGTTACTCCAATAAGAGTATAATGTGAACATCCCTCAAAAATATGTAATCGACCTAATATCATAGAAGTGTAAATGTTTATCATAGGCAAATGTTACTACTTTGATAATGACCTTCGCTGCACTATGGAAACGTTACTACATTAAGTTTTGTATACAGTCTAGGCTATATGAAAACCTGTTCAAGCATACAAGTTACAAAACAGTGTTTACAGCTTATTAAGTATATGAAAAAGAACGGTTTTCAGATATGAAGGAATCTCATGGTCAAACAACTTACACTACGAAAATATTTACTCTATATTTTTCTATGCTGTTTTCATCTCTAAGATAAGACTGTATATTCACTAAGTATGTACGACTGTATTGTATCAGTTGAATAATAAAGTATAACTACAAGTTCTATAAAAACATGTTTAGAAATTTGCAAAATCAAATATGAATAATAATAATCATACTACGCCAAGAAATGCGGACACGCATGAGAAGAATGAGCAAAAGTTGGATAGAACTAAGAATGAAGGCCCAGGACACAGTGGATTTGGGAATGCTGGTCGGCGATCTATGCTCCATTGGGAGTAACGGACGTAAGTAAGTAAGTAAGTAAGTAAGTAAGTAAGTAAGTAAGTAAGTAAGTAAGTAAGTAAGTAAGTAAGTAAGTAAGTAAGTAAGTAAGTAAGTAAGTAATTAAGTACCGATTAGATTATTCTTATCATTTAAGTAAGCTTCTTATTATGACGAAACATTTATTTAGCCTTAAAAACATGTGATCGTATGAAGTTAATTGCATTCTATTAATAGATTGATTTTATTAAACGATAATTATTTTTTATACAAAGATTACATAATTTGATTACCATAATTTTTTTTCTGCTCAAAATAGACGTGAACACAAATACAAGTTTTCATTTCCTGTAATTTATAGTAGTATATAATTTTCTATCTAATGATTATTTACGATTTCCTGAGCACTACCTTCTGATCTTGTAGGTATCATTAACAAGTTTTGATTTGATAATTTTGAATAAATTGAGCATTGGGTAGATTGTTATAAATAAATAGTATATTTGTAATACCCCAATAAGTAGAAAAATTAGATTTTTTAAAAGTTTCGTGACTCATTGTGGGCCACTTCTTCAGAGAATAAATAAACAAATTAACATTAATCCAAGTTTAAATATTACACTGCCGAGGAGTCCCACGATAGGACGAAACTGCCGTCCAGTGCTTTCAGGTTTTCCATGGTGGTCTAGCTTCAATTGACTCATGATCTCAACCCTATGAAATTACTAAAATCTCCACCAAATCCCTTCTGATAATGATCATGTGCTCACCAATGACTGGCTCCATGAGGTATTTCCTGCAGTTCTAGTGAGAAGCAGTGACCAGTGGAGTTCAACCAAGTCTGTTGTAGAGATATCAACTCACTGAAGACAATTGATGAAAGGTTGCGCAATTTCGTGGATCGGTTGAAGTTAGACATTAACACCGTTGGATGCCGCCTCAGTGGTCAGGAGGTTAAGTTCTCCGTCGCGAGACTTATATGTCCAGGGTTCGAATCTCGCGAAGTGGGATAGTGGATGCGCACTGCTGAGGAATCCCACAATAGGACGAAACTTCTTTCCTGTGCTTCGAGGTTTTCCATGGTTGTCTAGCTTCAATTGACTAATTATCTCAAATCTATAAAATTACTAACTTCGCCTGTAGCTCTTCTAGAGTTACTGCCGGTCCCAAGCCCGAGTAAAGGAGGAGGGTTGGGCATGGGGTTAGCGACCCCATCCCGTAGAAAAGCTAACTCACTAAAAAAACGCTAACCAGAAAACATAATTCAAGCCATTTAAACTCTGCCCTGGGAGTTGAAGGAATAATTATGACGCCTCATGATGAAAGCCGAAATTCTTCGGAAGTCACGGGACCGATGCACCTTCTAACAACCAGAGCAACACTCTTTATAGGTACATGGAACGTCCGGACAATGTGGGAAACAGGAAAGACCAGCCAAATAGCAATGGAAATGAGGAGATACAACTTGGTAGTACTCGGAATCAGCGAAACCCATTGGACACAAACTGGACAACAAAGGCTAGGTACAGGAGAGATGCTGCTGTACTCCGGTCACGAAGGAGAAAATGCTCCACACACTCAGGAAGTTGCTCTAATGCTGTCCAGAGAAGCAAGAAATGCATTTGTGGGATGGGAATCTCATGGACCCAGGATAATCAAAGCATCATTCAGAACAAAGAAGCAAGGGATCACAATGAACGTTATCCAATGTTATGCACCCACCAATGATAGCAACGACGATGATAAAGATCAGTTCTATGAAAGGCTGCAATCAATTATAGAGAAGTGCTCATGAAAGGACCTCACCATCCTTATGGGAGATCTAAATGCTAAAGTTGGAGTGGACAACACAGGATATGAAGATGTAATTAGACGACATGGATTAGGAGAGAGAAATGAAAATGGGGAGAGACTTGCAAACCTATGTGCTTTCAACAAATTGGTTATAGGCGGCACAATATTCCCACACAAGCGCATACACAAAGCTACATGGATCTCACCGGACCACACCACAGACAACCAGGTAGATCACATCTGTATCAACAAAAAATTCTGAAGATCAATGGAAGATGTGAGAACCAGGAGAGGAGCTGACATAGCTTCAGATCACCACCTGGTTGTGGCCAAGATGAG